CTTTCCTTCTTTCCTTCCTTCCTTTTTTCCTTTCTTTTCCTTTCTTTCCTTCTTTCCTTCCCTCCCTCCTTCCCTCACTATTGTCTTCCTTCTTTCCTTCCTTCCTCTTTACCTCTCTATCTTTCTTTTTCTTTCTATTCTTCTTCCTTCCTTCCTTTTTTCCTTTCTTTTCCTTTCTTTCCTTCTTTCCTTCCCTCCCTCCTTCCCTCACTATTGTCTTCCTTCTTTCCTTCCTTCCTCTTTACCTCTCTATCTTTCTTTTTCTTTCTATTCTTCTTCCTTCCTTCCTTTTTTCCTTTCTTTGTCTTTCTTTGTCTTTCTTTCCTTCTTTCCTTCCCCCCTCCTTCCCTCACTATTTTCTTCCTTCTTTCCTTCCTTCCTCCTTACCTCTCTATCTTTCTTTCTTTTTCTTTCTATTCTTCTTCCTTCCTTCCTTTTTTCCTTTCTTTTTCTTTGTCTTTCTTTCCTTCTTTCCTTCTCTCCCTCCTTCCCTCACTATTTTCTTCCTTCTTTCCTTCCTTCCTCCTTACCTCTCTATCTTTCTTTCTTTTTCTTTCTTTTTTTCTTCCTTCCTTCCTTTCTCTCATTGTCTCTTTCTCATTCTTTCTCTCTCTCCCCCCTTCCTCCCTCCTGCCTTCTTCCTTCCTTCCTTTTTTCCTTTCTTTTTCCTTTCCTTCCCTCCCTCCTTTCCTTACTATTTCCTCCCTCCCTCCCTCTCTCCCTTCCTCTGTCCCTCTTTCCTTCCTCCTTACCTCCCTCCCTCCCTCTCTTTCTTTCTTTCTTTCTTTTTCTTTCTTTCTTTCCTTTCTCTCTCTGTCTCTGTCTGTCTGTCTGTCTCTCTCTCTCTCTCATTCTTTCTCTCTCTCCCCCTCTCCCTTCCTTTCTCCTCCACTGCTCCTCCCACACACACCAAGGCTGAACGAATTCTCTTCTGCCTGGGCCACCCTGAAAAGCAGGTAGCCTTCACCCAATCCGCTCTCCGGCTACCCACCTGCTTCCCTGGCACGGAGGCCGTTTCCCTCCAAGGCCTGTTAAGAGGACTGATGCCCTGCTGTTCTATGAGTGGCTAGGAGGGATATGAGGCCGTCCTCTAGAACCACACCTGGCAATACAGGTGGGCTTTGTGGGTGGGGGTGCATGCTTTTTTTTTTAATGCACACTTACAACACATGGATTTTCTGATAAATTCAGACGGCTCGTGCAGCTTCCTTGCAACCGACAGGTGTTTCCTGAATTTTAATTCAGGGAGAAGAAACAATCCTGCTGTGAGTTGTGCTTCTCCAGAAGAAAGAACCACGCAAACCAGCCAGAGCTCTGTTTAACATTGACACGTTCCTGTTGTTCTCGCAGGACTTTTTGTTCTTATCTCCGCGTCGCTGTTGTTCAACAACAGAGCCTTACTCACGGTTTACAATAAGGCCCTTATGCTGCTGCATCAAAGCCTACTATGGGCTGCATTATCACGGCAGAAGGATTGGGAGTCAGCTGAGTGCTATTTACATTCCGGATTAGTAGACTTTGGAAAGCTATAAAGTCCCTGTAGGGGGAATGCCGGATGGGAAGAGCCACGGGCTTCTTAATGTGAATAATGGAAGTTGTTTACCAGTTTGTGTATCACCCTGGCTTTTTAAATATGTGCTGAGGATGTCCAAAGAGCTTCAATTCAAGGCGCTCTTAGAATAACAGAGAATAGAAGAGAATGTAGAATATAAAATAGAATCCAATAGAGAATAGAATAGAATATAAAATAGAATAGAATATAGAATAGACTATGAAATAGAATAATAGAATCAAATAGAATATAGAATATAAAATAGAATCGAATAGAGAATAGAATAGACTATAGAATAGAATATAAAATAGAATCGAATATAGGCTAGACTATAAAATAGAATAATAGAATAGAATAGAACATAGAATATAAAATAGAATCGAATAGAGAATAGAATAGAATATAAAATAGAATTGAATAGAGAATATAAAATAGAATCGAATATAAAATAGAATAGAATATAGGATAGAATATAAAATAGAATAATAGAATAGAATAGAATAGAATAGAATAGAATATAAAATAGAATCCAATAGAGAATAGAATAGAATATAAAATAGAATAGAATAGAATAGAGAATAGAATAGAATATAAAATAGAATTGAATATACATTAGTATAGAATAGAATATAAAATAGAATAGAATATAGAATAGAACAGAACAGAACAGAACAACAGAACAGAATATAGAATATAGACTAGAATATAAGTTAGAATAGACTATAGACTATAGAATAGAATAGAATATAGAATAGAAAATAAAATAGAATAGAATAGAGAATTGAATATAGAATAGAACAGAACAACAGAACAGAACAGAATCTAGAATCTAGAATAGAATCTAGAATAGAATATAGAATAGAATATAAAAATAGAGAATTGAATATAGAAAAGAACAGAACAGAATATAGAACATAGAATAGAATATAGAATATAAAGTAGAATAGAATATAGAATATAAAGTAGAATAGAATATAGAATATAAAGTATAGAACAGAATAGAGAATAGAATAGAGAATTGAGAATTGAATATAGATCAGAACAGAATATAGAATAGAATATAGAATAGAATATAAAAATAGAGAATTGAATATAGAAAAGAACAGAACAGAATATAGAACATAGAATAGAATATAGAATATAAAGTAGAATAGAATATAGAATATAAAGTAGAATAGAATATAGAATATAAACTATAGAACAGAATAGAGAATAGAATAGAGAATTGAGAATTGAATATAGATCAGAACAGAATATAGAATAGAATAGAAAACAGAATAATGCAGTTTCTTTTAGAATTACGACAGATGAGTTGTGTTTCGCGATGCAGGCTTGAAAATAAAATACCCAGGAATACATTTGCCACCCTCTTTAATTCTTACTCTCTGTTTTGACCTTATTAAAGGGGAGCAACCTGCGGAAAATACTTCTCAACCGCTATTTCAAAGGAGATTACGGAGGGAGCCTCAACGGTCATCTGGCTGGCAGCTACGGCAAACCCCTGCAGGGTGGAGGTAACCAGGGTTTGAAACATCTGGATGTAGAACAGCTCTGTGGGGTTTCTTTCCCTAGTGTAGTTCAGG